TTCAGGGACCCTCTCCAGTTCTTTGTGCAGCTAAGTCAAGTTCAAGTATAAATTGCTGCCTCAGGCAGACATAGATCAGCGGAGCGCGTCAAATGAGACTCCTGACTCCGTGTTCCCTTCTCTTTCAACATCAGCAAACACCACCGGCTATCGCTCAAGGGCTCACTGTGGCTCTTGAAACCATTCACGATGTCCGGGCAAGACATGATTGTAGGCTCGGTGGTCGAGTTGGCCAATGGACGACAAGCGACGGTGCGCTTCATCGGTACCACCCACTTTGCGGAAGGAGAATGGATCGGTCTTGAATTGGATGAAGCCACCGGAAAGAATGATGGTGCAGTACAAGGAGAACGATACTTCAATTGCGAGCCAGGGTACGGCATGTTTGTTCGACCATCAATCGTCGGAAAGGTCATCCAACGACAACCTGTGCGGGAGAGTAAACAAACCGCCAAACCGGCTGCCAGCGCGGCCGGCAGCAAAGCGCCTCAACCCGGACTCACAGCTGGTTTGCGCAAACAACCTGGATTGCCTCCCACAGCAGTAAGGCGACAAAGCACCAGCACAAACTCTACTCCTACCCCAGCGCCGAGGGGTGCTGCAGCTCGCCCATCTCTGAGAGTGTGTTATGGCCCATGGTAGCTTGCAACATCCAGTTTGCTAACACGTTGTATCGTTTTAGTCGCCCACGAAGTCCCCGACGAAACAACTAGGAGCCACCGCTTCTTCCCGCCCTTCAATCGGGACTACCCCTACTCCACGCACCTCTACTGTGGGAACGACCCGACCCCGAGGAACTACCACAGCCAGAAGCTCTATAGGTTCTTCTGCAGCACTAAATGCCCCCAAAACTGCGCGACCATCAGTATCTGGGCCAGCAGCCCGGACCTCACGGCCAAGCTCGCAAACTACGACACGCGCAACAGGCCCTGCGGCGTCAAAGGTTACTACTACATCAAGGCAAGTTGGCGCCACAAAGGCATCCGATGGAAGAAGTAGCCGTACAGGTGGGCAATCCGGGAACACAACCGACCTTGAGTCACCTGGCACTGAAGGGGAGGCTGCGCCAAGTGGAGGACTGGCACCCAAGACCTCTCGACAGTCGCTGACTGCAACTCGTCCAGCGACCACACGCCCTGCTGGAGCTCCGGTATCTACGTCGCAACGTCAAGTTTCGAATGCTGCAGTGAACCGAGAAATCGAGGAGCTCCAGCTGAAGCTTAATCAGATGGAGAAGAAACGAGTCGAGGATAGGGAGAAACTCAAGACCCTGGAACAAATTCGGACTGAACGCGATAAGTTCGAATCGATCATTCAGAAGCTGCAGGCCAAATATCAACCGCAGCAAATGGAGGTTACGGAACTTCGCAAAAAGCTCAAAGACACTGAGGCTCGCTTTGATGAATTAGATCGAATCCAGGCAGAGCATGAATCACTCATGGAAATGGCTGCCCTTGACCGCGAAATGGCGGAGGAGACAGCCGAGGCCTTCAAACACGAGTGTGAAGCACTTCGATCAAAGATGGAAGAGCTTAGTCTAGAGGTGGAGGTTCTCCGAGAGGAGAACGAAGAGTTTAGCCAGGTTACAAGTCCAGAGGAGAGATCCAGTCATGGATGGCTCCAGATGGAGAAAACCAATGAACGTCTTCGTGAAGCTCTCATCCGTTTGCGAGATATGACACAACAGCAGGAATCAGACCTCAAGGCCCAGATCAAGGAATTGGAAGAGGACCTCGAGGAATATTCCGCTGTCAAATCTGATTATGAGGCGGCGAAAGAGAAGCTTTTGGTCCTAGAGACCAATGTGGAGGATCTCAAGCAGCAGCTGGAAACTGCGTTAGGCGCCGAAGAAATGATCGAAGAGCTGGCAGACAAGAACATGCGCTACCAGGAAGAGATCAACGAGCTCAAAGCTGCCATTGAGGATTTAGAATCTCTCAAGGAGATCAGTGATGAAATGGAGTACACCCATATCGAAACCGAGAAACAACTCCAGGAAGAGATTGACTACCGGGAAGGCGTTTTCGGCGACCAATGCCGAAAAATTAACCAGCAGGACGAGGTCATTGAAGATCTTGAATACACGCTGTCTCGCTTCAGGGAGTTGGTGACGAACCTACAAACTGACTTGGAAGACATGCGGGCAACCCAACAGATCACCGAGGCGGAGGCCACCGATCTCACCACACGGTCCCGGGCCATGATGGATCTAAATATGAAGTTGCAAGCTTCCGCATCGAAGGCCCAGACCAAATCTATCGACATGGAATTGAGCCGAATGGAGTCGGAGGAAGCCGCACAACATCTTTCGATGGTCAAATTGTATCTGCCAGAGTATTTCGACGGCGAAAGGAACTCTGTCCAGGCTTTACTCCGCTTCAAGCGTGTTGGATTCAAGGCCACTATTATCAGCAGCACCATTCGAGACCGGGGCTCAGAGAACTCGGCACTCTCGGCGCATGAAGAAGTTTTCAAGGCCCACGAGGTGCTGGAACATCTTATGTGGATCTCAAATGTATGTGATCGGTTTGTGAACTTCATTACAACCTGTTCTCCCGAACAATTCGGAAACATCAAGGTCGCAATGTTTGAAATGGAACCAGTCGAGCGCACGTTGAACTTCTGGATCGAGAACGCGAAGAAGAACGAAGTGAATCTTCCGAAGCTCGCAATGGAATTGCAGCGATCTATCGCTCTTATCGCGCACCTAGCAGAAACCCTTCTTCCTTCTAGCCTTGAGATCTTTGCCGATGAATTGTGTATGCGTGCCCACTTGTCTCAGTCATACCTTGACCATGCCGGCACTGCGATTGCGCGCCTCAAGCTCATCATCAAGGCCAAAATGCTTACCTCAGAAGAGGACAGGGAGGAAGAATCGTTTGCTCTTAACAAACTGGATTCCTTTGTTTCTCAGGCTCGCGGGTGCAAGGTTGCGATGGGCAAAATCAGCCGGTCTCTTGACGATCTGCAGTCTAGGTCTCTTGCTCTTCCAAAGGAGGCCGATGAGCCCTTCAAGGATGCCGAAACCAGTACCAAGCAACTTTCAGAATTTACTCGGCTACTCGGTGAGAGCATTGTCAGTCTTACTAGTGATGAAGGTCGCACGGAGGCTTTCAGCTTGGAGGAAATCCTGGATTGCTTGTCACAGGCTTCTGCATCGTTTGCTTCATCTTCCGAAACATCGGAAGAGAGCAACGACCCGGTTTCATTACTGCTCAGCAAACTGCGTGACCTAAGCGGTCAATTTGAAGAGTTGGATCACATCTCGTCAGATTTGTCTCGCACAACCGAATTTGAGAGAGGCGCTAATCCTTGGATTGCTCGTGCCGAGGAGCTGAAGTCTAACAAAACAATTTCTCCGGACGCCGATGACGAGATTCGTCGATTGAAGAATGAAATCCATGAGGCATCTGCTGCACTTGGTGTGAAAGACACCACCCTTGAAGAGCAATGCCTTAAGATCGAGCACCTTGAATCAAGGATGCGGGAAGCAAGCAAGAAGGCAGCTTTGGTTAAGGACCTGGAGGCTCGAATCGAGCAAATCCAGGAAGCAGAAAGCGAACTGGAGGAAACCGTTGAAAGACAAAAGAAAGAGCTCCAAGTAGCCGAAACAGAGCGAGACGAGTACATGGCCCGTCTTGAGCGCATGAAGCGCATGTCCGGTACAGCCGGCGTGAAAACGACAGGCAATGGCGTCGTAATCGACAGCGAGGCCTCATTGGCAGCAATGCAAGAAAACGAATCTCTCCGCGCCGAAGTAGAGAGCCTACAAGCAGCCGTGCGTTTCCTGCGCGAGGAGAACCGCCGCTCAAACATCCTCGACCCATACTCCGTCCAGCGTTCAACAGAAATGCACGCCTGGCTCGACATGCCCCTCACGCGCGCCAACCCCACACCAGAAGAAGAAAAGGTCCGGCGCACCGCCCTCGAAAGCAGAGATGTAATGTCCCATCTCCTGAAGCTGACCAAGGAGTCACACGTCCCCGATCTCAAATCCACAATGACTCGCCCGGCCAGCGGCGACGACAGCACCGCCAACCGCACCGCATGGCGTCCATCCAAGACTCGTCTTCGATACCAGGTTCTCCAGCAACGCGAGAACTTTGAGCACTGGGCTGAATGGCGTGATGAGATCGTCAACCACGAGCGTGAGCAGGACCGTCTGGCTGCCGCTAAGCAGGAACGCGCAATGCGCGATCGTGTTTCTAAACATGCCCATAAGGGCTCTGTTGAATTCCCTCAGGGCTTGGGTCATGGTATGATGGGTCGAGCGTGGCAGATTCTGGGGATGCAGAAGCACCGCAAGAATGCCTCTATTAGTTCTCCTGCTCCGGATGGAGTGGAGATTGTATCTACGGATTGAAATGTTGCTTTTGTTATTGAGCGAAAGCATGAGCGTGAGTGTGACTGAGCCTGGTTGCTTTGGTTACCTTATTGCTGTAGTACATACTTTTCATCCTTTTTTTCGCTTTTTGTGCCCTATTTTGTCTGGATGCTATATTGTTCTTCTTTGAGATACCCGCATATAGCTATCATTGGACTTTGTGTACAATTAACGTTGACTGTTACTTGATGGGGACTCTGGACATCTCAGTTGGGAATCGGGTTTACCTTGTTCTTGACAGCCTTATCTTTATATTTTAGTTTTAAGCTATTTTTCCCTTACTGGATAATGTTACCGAAGATAGATCTCTATTAGACCGCATGCTACATTGAATTTTCGAATTTGACATAGAAGCAGCCTTTCGGGGTTGTATTTAGTACTTCCTATGCGAGTAAACACTCGTAGGCATTATCCCTCGAAAAGCAAGCAAATAAACCAACCAGAATCGACAGGGGGTATTCCAAACCCAAACATTCAATAAGATCAAAAAGCACATTGCAATAGAAAAAGAATAGAAAGAGAGACAGAGAGGGAAACAAAGATTATCAAAATCCAAATTACCCCGAAAAGATATAGTCACTTAGACTTCGAAGACTTTGAACCCCCTTCGAAGAATTCAAAAAGCCAATCCAATACCGGTCTCGCGGTATCGCGTATGTTCATCGTCGTGGTAAGCAGAGAAAGGAAGATCCTGCCGCTGATGCTCCAATATAGTCGGGTGACAGATCCCAGCGTCCAGACCCTTGTCCGTTGTCGGTGACGGGCCTTGGAATGAAGTACGAGGGGTTATAGCATTAGAGAAGACACTGGAGATGGAGCTGTTGTTCCGGGCTCTTGCGCCACCCCCGGTGATGGTGGTGGTTGTGGATGCGACGGTCGTGCCGCTCAGTGTGCGGGTTCGTTCCCAGGTAAAGTCGGACTCGCCGGGTGGGGAGATTTGCTTGGGGGAAGGAGTGGACTCGGTAGATGTAGGGTGCATCCATTGAGTAACGCGGTTTGAAAGAGAGGGATACTCTATGATTCTGCTTTTGGTTTCTGGGAATGGCATGGAGGGTCGACGGAGTGATGAGATTTGAGATGGTGTTGTTTGCGAGCTGGCTGTTGAAGGTGAGTCTTTGGATGTTGGAGAGTACTTTGATGGTGATGTCTCCGCTGATCCTGCGGGTAATCCGTTGAAGGCATTGGGTGTTTGCGATGCTTTCCCCCAGGGCTCGCTGTCAGCTCCTTGGCTGGGCCACGGGTTGTTCAGCGTCAAGCCGTTGCCTTCAGATATAGATCCGCCGTGGGGGGGAGATGACGCCTGCTCCTCCTTGAAAGAGATCTCGACAGGGGTCACCGTCGAGAAGTGAGGGATCAGAGCACTGGTGATGCGAATGGGCTGCTCGGCGAGTAACGGCTCTAGGTTTCCAAGTGAGCGACGTTTCTTAGACCCAACTGGCTTGCGAGATACCACGAAGGTCGTTTGGCAGCGTCGATCTCGAACACCGGTCGATACTGTCAGGGCACGCGCGGGCGCCGGCAGTGTCTTGCGATGACCATCGTTAAGCTGGAACGATTCGAACGAAGGTAGGTCCGATAATCGATTACCTGATCGATGTATACGGAGCTCTAAAGGTTGATACGTTGTCGACCGAGGGGGCTGGAAGGACTGCACTCTGCGGAAGTCCGAAGGCGCGCTGATCTTTAAAGGCGCCTTCAACGGCGTCGATTGTCTCTTCATGGACATGCTCGCGCGAGTAGAGGCTCGTGAGGCCAAGTGCCTGCCTTCATTGATCCACGACGACAACGAGTTCCGATGCTGGTGCCCGGGTATAGTTGGGCTGGGGAGGTCATCGTATACCACCAGTTTCATGGGAGGAACTAGATGCGGTTGAGTATGGCATACTGTCATCTCCCGTTCGACGCCTGGAATATGTCAATGAGTACTCCATATGCAAGTATACAACGACATTGACGGTAGTTCGTAGCACACATACCACGCCCTTCAGTCTGATTACCCTGACAATCATCGTTAGGGACCAAACATGACAAGCAGGATCGCATCCAACCAGTGAATAGCGAGCCAGCTTGCTCCAAAGCCAATGTCATGGCGACCAGCGCTTCGTTAATCCATGGCCTTCTAGGCAAAAATCAACACACAGACACAGACAGGATAGAAGAAAGACAAAGAAGAGACCCCCACCTTGGGGGACGGGCCTTCATGTACGGCCCTGTCAGGCTGCTGATCGCCTTACCGAACTCGACCAGGTACACACCATAGCGCCACTAGGGACATGGATCTAATCCCAGGAAAGAAAGACATCCTGGCGCCAACCTTCTTAGCTCCAACGATCGTCGCCCATGGAGTTGGTTGTGAGGTTGTCATTCGTTGATGCGCGGTGGAGTTGTCACATTTGCTTATCACTCTATACTTAGGGTGATGAGAGTTGGGCGCTTACGGAAATTGCACTTGTTCATCTTGATTTTGCTACTCTCAAAATAAACTTCGTGAACATCCGAATGGAATTTGAAGCCTTTCCTCTTCTTTCAACCACTATGCTAAGTCAGATATTGGTCGCCTCTGTTAGCCATGGACCGCATCATGGAAGCCTCAAATCGGCAGTTTCTCCAGGACCGAATCGATGAGCCCGAAGCAAGGGACCTTACCGACGAAGGAAAGTAGGACAGGATAAATTTCTATATGTATTACTTGGGTGATCAAGGCATCGCTCAATGGGCCGATGCCAAAAAATATTCGTCCTCGTATAAAGATGGTGTTGAGCCAGCATTACTCGTGACGGACGAGTGGCGCCAAACGGTTCTAGAGACCTTCGAGGCTTTCAGCAACGATATGGCTTTTTGAGACCAAAACACAGAAAAGGGTTTCCATATGCAAATTTCTTACGATCTAGGCCATTTATCGAGTACGCCGATGGTGTACATGATCCGAATTCAGTTTGTGAAGATGTATATGTACGTTAAGAGGTCTATACCAGACCCAAATTAGAGATATTCCAGAAATCGTAAAAAAGGACCACACCCTATTTGTCCCAGACATTGTCTTGCTCCAATCCATCGTAGGCCCATGCCTTGGACCGGTCTTCACGGTCGTTGTTAGACTCTGCTGGGTCCGTTTCAGCTTCTTCTTCGATTGGCTCTCCTGAGGGTCGTCTGGAAATTGAGACCAGGGTTAGCACCATGTGTTATTGTTCATCTCTCAGCCAATGGTTTAAACTTACGAATATCGCCGTGTTTCAGGTTCAGCATGTGCTGAACCAAGCTCCCGCTGTACCTGAGCTCGGTCTTCCTCCTCAGCCTCTCGATTCTCCACCACAAGGTCCACCAGCTGGCTCTTTCGCGTGTTTGTGCTTGTGGAGCTGGCATTGCGCTGCAAGGGACCAGGGGTACTCGAGCTTGCGCCTGAATTAGGTTTTGGCTGTGGGCTTCGCCCGCTCTCGCCGTCTGACGCCCGGCCCTTTCTGTGCCTGCGGGCCTTTTTGACATGCCCACCTCGGTTTGAATCTTGATAGCTCCTTGACGGCGGTAACCGCTGGTCCCTTGGCACCTCGTTGGCCGTAATCACCGGGTACTATTGTCGGTCAGAATCTCAATCATGATGGGCTATATGGCGCGAACTTACATTCCAGTCTCCAAACTCCAACGCCCGAGCGTTAAGGAACAAGTGTTCGTCCTCCTCATCCATTGATGTTTCAATTTCACTGAAAGATCGGAATCTTTCCCTCGAGCTTTGACTGCTTCTGTTTCCACGCTCACTGGATTCTCCGGCAAGCAGAGGCGTGCGACTGTTGATTTCCCCCGGTTTGGGAATCCAGTATTTCGCCTTGCCTCCTCGCTCGTATCTCATGCCGTCCATGACTCGCTTTACCCGTGATCCCGATTCCGCATGCGGGATGATGTTATCACCCGAGTCAAAGAGTCGGTATTCATAATTCTCACCGCGGAGGGTCATCTTAGTGTCCTCAACCAGATCCAGAACGCCGAATGAGTCGCGCAACGCAAATTTCACAGGCAAACGCGCAGCCGAAATGGTGGGGTCCGCATAGTCGTGCCACGAGAATGCATACCAATGGGCAATAGCAAAGAACGGCATCTCGAAACAGATGAGACTGTCCTGAATTGCAGCTGCAAGGTTGTCTGGAGTATATCCAGCAACGCTGCCCAGCGCACCCAGCCACTGCAGAATCGACAAGAAAAACCCTTGCCAATACGACGCAAAGATGATGAGTTTGATACAGAGGAATTTGGGGACCGGCCGGAACGGCATCAGGTCATCGTGCAGACAGACCCAAAACATGGCGAGGGAGTAGAGACTAATTGTGACGCTGACATTGTACACAATGCCTGTCCAGAGATATCCCGAGCCTAAACCAATGTAGCCCTCTTGGTATGTGTCCGTCGCCTTCATCACGACGGAGACAATAGCTAGAATGGGCTTCAGCCAAGCATATTGCAGGATACCGCGTTTGACAGCGAGGAAGGTGTGGGGGTCGGAGACGTCGATCTTTGGGAGGAAGTGGTTGAGAGGCCAGGCATGTGAGATAGGAGGTCGGCCATGTGCCATGATGATCAAGGCACGTTCGCCCCCGAGGAAGTTGATAAGGAGCTGGAAGAAGGTATAGATGGTGAATGCCTGAAAGCCACCAGTTAATATGAGCTTCCCCAACAGGCGATTCGGATACAAGTTACCTCATAGATGTCACGAATAGGATCGAGGAATTGGGCTGCTTTGAGCGACACAATACTCGTCCATGATGATGCCGCGTAAATCGGGACCCTAAGCGTTATCAGCATTGCCGTGTACCCCGAGCTGAATGTCCAAGCCAGTACTGACATCAACAATATGCGTACCACATAGCGCTGGAGGAGTGGTTTCCGGTAGTTTTTGCTATATATATTGTAAGCATGGAGTCGTGTGACAGGATGGTAGAAACTCGTACGTTTGGAACCAGATGGACCTGCGAGTTGATATCAAGGGTCAGCTTGAGAGTCTATAATGATAGCTCTCGTTAGATTGCTGGAGAACTCACACAAAGGACAACAGCGAGGAGACCAAAGCCGAGACACCTGCGACGATAATGATCGCGCGTGCCAGGCTGGAGCCTGTTCCTCCACCGGCGGCAGTCATGATGTAAATTCGAGACAAACACGAATCTATAGCCGTGTACTGCCAACGCGGATATGTCTCATTCCGCGGAGGAGGGACAAAACATGGTGTTCAACGGGGAAGGGGAAGTTGGAGAAATGTTGGGGTCTGGAAGGAGGAGGGATGACGATCTTCGCGTGACACCGCCCGACGCATCTTCACTTTGCGACATTCAGAACACAGCCATTTTGGATGGCGATGATTTGATTTGGGCTTATTCGCGCCTATTGCGCGTCCATGGCGGAGAGACATGGCCAGTACAAGCTTGACGTCGGCCTTTCTGACGCCGGATCCGAGCTTCAATTGGTGCGTCGGACTTGCTGCGAGGATGGCTAGTATACTGATTGACTTAGGTTCTTCTTGCTTGAACTGATTGTGTCTTCCATTCTGTGAGTTTCCGCACTTCATTTGGCTGGACAATACTGATAGTTCGCATAGTGCGTTGTTCTTCCTGCTCTACTTCAACCGGCTCTTCGCGACTCTCCTTTCCTACGCCATTCGAGCATACACCTGGCACTACTACCGAGCATATGTCGACATCAACGCGCTTCAAATCTCTTTACTTGGCGGTCGAATTTTCTTCAAGGGCATTCGATACCACGGTGTAAACGAGACAATCTTTATCCATGGAGGATTCATAACTTGGCGTTATTGGACGCGCAGCGTGGAGCGAAACGATTTGACTGGAATTCGACGCAAAACTGGCCTTCATAATGCCACCGGAAAGGGACATGGATGCTCCGCGCCAGATGGGGTTGAAGATGACAGTCTTGGAGAGCAAGGTGGCAGGGGAAAGACAACCGAGCTACCCTGTCGGATAACAATCAAAGCCTACGGTCTTGAGTGGTTTGTCTACAATCGGACTCCAGCATATGAAAGTATTCTCGCTGGATTCGGTTACTCGCCGAAGAACGTTGACCTGAACAATCATTCAACACCCCCAGGATCTCGCACGACGGCGGAAGACCAAGGCACCAGGAATGGTTTTGATTTCCCACAGGCGCCTGATCACCAATCTACCTTGAAAACTATGTCGGAGCGCAGCATGGGCGAGAGGGGAGGGAATTCCTCTCAGAGGACAGCTATGCGCGAGTCAGAACTATCGGACCAGGTGTCCAACATGCTTCAACTCTTGCCAATCAAGCTGGATTGCAAGAAGGGTGCCATCGTACTTGGTAACGAACATACTCGATCTGTTTTAACCACGACGTTCGATGCTGCAACGGGTACCATTGATGCTTGCAATTCGGGTCCGCTTGATTTATACCGGCAACTATTTTCATTTAAGCTTGACCACCCCGTGGTTCAGATGCGGCCGAACCCCGATTTCAAACAAAACCAACCGGCAACTGCAAAAGCTATAGGTGCTGTGCATGAGGATGAGCCCAAATCAAAGAAGAAACGACAAAACATCTTCAATTATCAATTCCAAAGGCGCAAAGTGTGGCACAGCATCCGTGACCTTGTTCCTTATTTCCAAACTTCTGTCGAATCATTCCATGCCAACAGCAGGAATGCCGACAGCATGCCAAGAAGCCAGGCGGAGTTCCCTGAAGTTCGTTGGACTGGTCTTTCGCGGTATCTGGACGAAGCCGATGAAGATGATCACGAGAAATGGAGCTCGGTGGAATATGCCCGATTTTCCACCATTTTGGACAGCTCTAGTCTGACTATAACGTACTTTTGGGATATTCCTGGGCGAGTCAGCCATCAAGGCCCAACGTCCGTTGAACATTCACATCCAGATCCAGTGGAGGGAAATATCAACTCGGCCTTTCCTCCTGAATGGGGAATTGATCTTAAGATTGATGGAGGCACTCTAAACTACGGCCCATGGGCCGACAGGGAGCGGGTTGGCTTGCAAAATGTCTTCTTCCCGAACTTTTACCGCAGCGCCGAACCGGCAGAGCAGTTGGCACCTGGTGTTCTGCGGCAAAGCACATCCTTCATTTTACGCATTGAAATCAACGAAGAGTTGACCCTGCGAATCCCTACTCGAGAGCAGTCCAAGGATTGGCAATGGAAGGGTCGTGCTGATGCCATTGGAGGCGCGTCAAGGATTAAGAAGCCAAATGATAGAAAGAAACCACGAGCAAAGGAGGGCGAAAAGGGTCACATTGGACCTGAAATTCGCCCGTTTGGGTGGCTTTCCCTCTCCGTTGCTGCCGATTCTACTATCAAATACACCATGGATATGGTGGCCTCAAGCCTAGGATTTCGGAATGAACTCTCTCTTGACTTCCGAGAGTCAAAACTTTCATCCAGTATCAACCATGGCTTGCTCTGGCAATGTCCGCGACAGTTGGTCACCTGTGATCTATCCAACCCACTTTCCTGGAACAGCCTCCGCTCTTGGAAGTTCACCGTTGAGAGCCAGGATCTGCAGCTCTTTCTTCTCCGTGACCACATTTTCCTTCTTACGGATCTCGTGAGCGATTGGGCATCGGGTCCGCCTTCGGATTACTACTCATTTGTTCCTTTCATCTACAACCTCGATCTCAATTTTTCTGACTTCCAGCTTTACATCAACGTGAATGACCGAAACATCATCAGCAATCCTTCAGATCTGGAAGATAATCGATTCATTGTCATCAAGGGCAAACGTCTGACGTCCAGTGTCATGATACCATTGAACAAATATCAACCCGAGCAAACTGCTATTAAGTTCAGGGTCAACCTCGAAGACGGTGGTGTGGACTACGTGACTCCCTTATGGGACACCTTACACGAGTTTCTGCCCCAAAAGTCTATGGCTACCCTTCAAAGCCTGTTCATTGACGGCTCCTACAACTACTTCTCGTCGACTTCACACGAATTGACTGACACCTTGGTGCTCAACCTCGACGGAAAGTCACCTCGGCTGTATCTTTTTGGATTTTTGATCAAGAGCTTCATGACAATCAGAGAGAATTACTTTGGCGAAGAAATGCATTTCAAGACTTTGGAAGAATACCAAGAGCTGATCTACGCCGATGAAATTCCATCGAACTTCACAGGAATTAATCCAAACCGAAAGTCAAATGACATGGACATCCTCGTTCGTGTCACAGTCGACAGCCCATGTGCTTTGCTTCCTGTGAACATCTATGACACTTCAAAATGCACTGGACTTAGCGCTGCGTCCCTCGAGGTCGATCTACGATTCACTAATTACTACATGGATTTGCAATTTTCTATCAGCCCACTGAAACTTGATTTGCTTTCCATACATTCCGACGACTCTTCGACCGTTTCTGGCACTCAACTATTCATCGATGGTGTCTCGGTCTATGGCCACCGTTTGTTTGGTTTGCCGCCTCTTGAACCAACCTACGTCTGTAATTGGGATTTTGAAGTTGGCAAAATCGTTGGAGAATGCTCCACGGAATTCCTGGCTTGCCTGGGATCGTCATTGAAGAGCTTCGATTTCTCTTTTGATAACGAGGAGAATGCTTTGCCGACACTGTTTCCCGAGGTTCTCTACGATGTGACCTTCTTGAGAGCTAAGATTGATGCAATCCACATTTCCGTACTACTGGATCAAGTAGCTGTCATTCTGAGCACACAGCCACTGAATGTGAAGTTCAATGATTGGGCGAACACCAAGTTTTCGAAACGCCTGAATCTCCTCGTCCCAGATATCTCAATTGCCGCCATTGATCGTGGCCATGCCACTCAATCTAATGTATCGACAAGAGCAACAGTGGCTCCCATAGGTCTTCTCCAAACGACTATCAGATTGAAGATGGCATTGCGCAAATCTGATATTGCAGAACGTCGACGGCTTCAGCAAGAGCATATCAAAATTCACGACCAACGAACTCATAGAGCACAATGGCTACTTTCTGATTGGGAAGAGACTGGCCCGGCCTCAACCATTCCTGACGACGACGTGTTCCCTCCAACAATGGCTATACCTTCCATGCCCGAGCCTATTCATAATAGGGCTCGCTCGCTCAATGCGCCGTCCTACATGGGAGTTTCAGGATCGCATCCTAATAGAAGTGCCAAGAGTTTCCTTGTTGAGTCAGAAGTATCAAGCCTGAACAGTGTCAGAATGCACAACGCACATAGCCTCGGAGCAGCTTCAGATCCGGGCTCTAACCTACGACCTTTTCCGCCTTCACGGGAAGCGAGCTGGGCCTCACATACCAGCCGATCAAGAGATGGAACACAGCCTGGTTCCCGGGGAAGTGCAATTTCCTCTGCTGCAAGAGATGCGAACCCGTGGATCATGCCGCATTTCTCATACCACAAGATTCAGTTGGATACATCGGAGCTTCCATTGCCGTTCATGAATGACGATAGTACCTCAACGATTGACGACCCTGCCGTAAATCCAAAGTCCGTGTTCCTCAGTTTCGATGATGATAAAACCACATACACCAACCTCGCATGCGATCTCCCTCTTGGTGTCCGAGGCTTTTGCACACCGAAATTCCTTCTGAGTCTAGCTGCCTTGCTGGATGGGTTGGAACCAAAACACCCTGTTAGAATTATTGATTCCCTTCAAAAAGACGTGATATCAGACATTGTTGGCTATGACAAAGCTATGAATCAACCGAAGAACTCCGCAGCTGTTTCCCTACGTGTTCCTGCCATACAACTGCGCCTTGTGGATCTGTCAGAGTCTCCCAACAACAAAAATATTGAGTTCCGAGATGAGTATAGCATCGAGCTTCGTCATCTGCGGACTGAGCTCAGGAAAAAGGTCCACCGTCGAAAGGGAGATTTGCTTGAAGGCGTTAAGCAAGATGTCACTGTCCATGCAGCGGCTGATCACCTCTCGATTGCCGTCGAGGGCAGTCGAGCGGATGCTTTTCATGAGAAAGCTGAATTCAGTTCCCACTTGAAATACTTGAACTTTTGGCTGGTGACTACGCCCGATGTTCGCTCTAACCTCCAGATGCGAACATTCAATACAATCACATCAGCGAAGTCCGTGGAGCGTTTAGCGTTCCTCGTCCGTCGAGCCACAACGATGTTTGATTCTGTTGCCTCCT